ATTTAAAAAAAGACAGCTATAAAGGGGTAAGTTGAAATACAAGCATTAACAACCTGTTTGAAAGAGGTGTTACAAACTGGGCTGGGCTGCAAATAAATTTATCTCTCATCCAAAGAGGGTGTCAGCATCTTAAGAAATGTATAAAAAGGAATCGGCTACCTGTAATTCTCTAACTCATTTCTCTGAAGGCTTCTAACTGTTGAATATACGGAGCTGGGTGAGTTGAAATCTGACATTGCTGCGTCTAGAAGTTGGAAAAAAATAAACTCAGGAGACCATTGAGAAGTTTAGCAAGAGCAGGACCAAGCTGGAAAAATGGAGAAGTTGGGGTGATTTAAAGGATTGAGGACTCACATTTTGAGGCAACTTAGTTTAGAAATGGGTGAAAATGAACATGCAGGGTGAAGGAGGCAAGACTTTTCAAGAATTTTTTCGGGGGGGAAGGAGGTTAGCATACCCTTGGAGTCAAGGATCGACGCACCTTTTCTTCCCCTTGTTTCTGCAGGCAGAGTCTCCAACATGGCTTGTCTTGTGGACAGTGTTTGCACCATCATCGGAGTCTTTCACAAGTATGCTGAAAGGCGTAATGCGTGTTCCACCATGAAGCGAAGGGAGATGAAAAGACTCATCCAGAAAGAGTTTGGTGAAATTCTAGAGGTAAGGAGGATCTACCAAAATGTTGAAGACCAGTTTGGGATCTCTAGATGTTGGGTGATGCTGGTGGTTGGAAAGCGTTGCCCAATCTCAAAATGAAATGGCCTTCTCTGTGATTTCTGGTTTTTCAGAACCCTCGTGATCCTCAGATTGTCAAGCTGACCTTCCAACTGCTGGATGTGAATAGAGATAGCCTAGTTGACTTCAATGAGTTCCTTCTCCTCATCTTTGAAGTGGCCACAGCTTGCTATAGTAGTGGGTATCCTAAGGAGTGCCTTTCACCCAAAGAGGAAAGAAGCAGGGTTGTACGTAATGGAGAACCACGTGGGAACGAAAACAACCACCGGCAGTTCCAGGATGAGGAAAGGGAAGAAGACTATGTCCATGAGAGACGAGGTTCTGATCGGACTCCCCTTCGTCCCATGGAGGATAGCAGACAAGGGGAGCTGGGGAAATGCTACCTGCCCAGTGAACCTGAAGAAGAAGAAGAAAAAGAAGAAGAAGAGCGCAACTTCCAAGGACGTGATCGTGAGTTGAGGGATGGTGATAGGAGAGTCCATCTATCTCGGGAACAACATAAAAAGGAGACTGAACGACGGCGCCTTGAGCCCAAACAGCAAGAAGATATTGAGACACCAGAACGTCATCAACTGAGACAACGGGAACCAGCATTGGAAGAGAGATCCCCACGCCCATCGCGAGAACCCATGAGAAGAAATGACAGTAACAGACGGGCTGGTGATCCCTTGGACAGGGATGAACAAGATCTGTATTCCCCAGTGGTCACATCCAGGCGGGAAGATGGAAGACAACGTCGGGGACGAGAGACTGAGCATCGGGAAGCTGAAGGCAGACTCTTCAGATGTGGCTCTAAAGCCCGAGTGGAGGAAGGAAACCATCGTGCAGAGTGCGATTCTGAAAGAAGTCGAGCATCTCGTGAACCGCGAGAATTGGAAGATGGAAGGAGGGACCTGGAAACACACGATGAGCTGAGGACTCGTGCCTTTGAACCCCGCGTGACTGATGAGCA